CGGGCGGGCGCCCATCTTCTGGCCAGGCGTGGTGCAGGGCCCGCCCTGGAGGGACGCCCGCATCGGCTGCGCGCCGCGTGAGTACCGCGGGGCCGGCCCGGGGCCGCGCGTCCCGAGCGGAGCGGAGCGGCGCAGAGCGTAACGCGCGCGTGTGTTTCCCCCTCCGGCAGATCAAGGCTCGATCCTGCTGGACAAGGACGGCAAGAGGAAGCACACGCGGCCCACCTTCTCCGGGCAGCAGATTTTCGCTCTGGAGAAGACTTTCGAGCAGACCAAGTACCTGGCGGGCCCCGAGCGGGCGCGGCTCGCCTACTCGCTGGGCATGACCGAGAGCCAGGTGAAGGTGAGCTGGGTGGCCCGGGGGGGGCGGCCCGGGGTCGGCGGCGGGGCCGCGCGGTGACGGCGCGGGGCCGCAGGTGTGGTTCCAGAACCGGCGGACCAAGTGGCGGAAGAAACACGCGGCCGAGATGGCGACGGCCAAGAAGAAGCAGGACTCGGAGACGGAGCGGCTGAAGGGCGCCTCGGACAACGAGGACGACGACGACGACTACAACAAACCCCTCGACCCCAACTCGGACGACGAGAAGATCGCGCAGCTGCTCAAGAAACACAAACCGGGCGCCGGGGGGCTGCTGCCGCACCCCGCCGAGGGCGAGGCCTCCGCGTAGCCCCGCGCACATGTACAGATGTATTTTTCTACGCCCCGAGCGGCCGGAGCCGGACTGCGGGCTCGCGTTCTCGTACGGTCGCCGGATGCGGCTTAGCCGGGCCGGACCGCGGCGTTGTTATGGTAGGGTCGCCGGCGGCGGGGCCACCTGTTGAAGGCTCTTTGTAAATAGCCCGCGGTCCCGGCTGTGAATAGCGCCCGTGTACGATACCTTCGTTTTGTTTTTTGTACGGCCGCCGGGCCCCGCGGACTGGGGGGGACTGCCCGCATGGCGCCGGGGTGCGGAGCCCGAGGCCGTGCCGTAAAGGAGGCGAGAGAAAGAAACCCCAACTGAGCGGAACTGGTGCTGGTGGGAATTGGCGCAGCCGCTTTGAGGCGGAATATAAAAATCCATTTAGTTGCTGTCATTGAATTTAAGGTGTGTTTTCCTTTTGTATCATACAGAATACTATAGAATGTAAATTGTTTTCTTCTTTTTTTTTTTTTTAAGCTAATAACGATGATCTATCGTGACATAGCGTCTTAACCTTTATTAATTTATATTAAAACCAATTCGGTTTGTAAAGAGAAGGAAAAGCCCTTTGCAAGCCCCGTTCGATGTAATGCACTTTCTGTTCGCAAACAAAACAACGATAAAACCAATTAAACCCTTCTCCCGCCGTCTGCTGCCTTCATCGGGGGTACGGAGCCAAAGGAAGAGTGCGGGGGGGAGGGGGGCAAAGGGGAGCACAAAAGCACAAATGCGCGGCCGAGCACGGAGAACGGCGGGGGAGGAAACGCAGCGCAGCCGGCGCTGTGCCCGCCGCCCCGGGAGCAGCACGGGATGGAGCGCGGCCACGGCCCCGGAGCAGCGTCCTGCCGGCCCATCGCGTCGGGCTGTAATCCATGCCCGTGCCGTGCCATTTGGGTATTGCTCGGAGATATTTTTTTTTTCTTTTTTTTTAATCATTATGAAAGTGCAATCTTTTTAATTCGCCGCGGTAAAATACGAGCCCCGTTGTTCAAAAATTATAGCGACTGTTAGAGTAACGTACGGGCGCCGCGCTCTCACCGAATAAAAACCTACGGAGAAAGCGGCGGGGTCACGGCGGGGAGCAAACGCTCGGCCAAATGGGCACGCATCGCCCATCCCGCACCCCACACCCCAAATCCAGCACGTAATGAGGGCCATCCCAACACCCCCCCAACCCCCCTCCGCCGCCGCCCGGTAATTGAGCAGATCTATTAACTTGTTACACTAGATTTGTTTAAAGAGACTATTACACAGTCATTTAATCAATTTGTTCCACTGGAGGTCCTGACTTATGAGACACTCGCCGTATGATTCCTTAATGACTGAATTAATTTGTTTTAATAAAACCAACATTGTGTACGGGCGCGTTTCGAGAAATGCCATTTCGGAGGCGCTTCCCCCGATTCGCTCTTCTCTACGGTTTGTCAAAGTCCGGAGCCACCGTCATAAGCCGCACGGACGGGGTATTTTTCTTTTTTATAGCGTCATTAATTTAATATGGATCATTAGTTCTTTATACACACGCATGTTCTGACAAATGTACCCAATGAATAATGCACCTAATGCGTTCGGGCTCAAATGCATCACGCCGTAAACAGAAACCGACGCTCGGATCGGCACCGGAGCGGGACGGGGCGGCGGTACCGAGCGGAGCTCCGCGGCTGCGGAGAAGGGAGCGGAAGGGAGCTGGGAACGGGACGGGTGCGCCGAGGTGTGGCTGCCGAAATGCTCGCGTAAAGTTAACGGCGGTACGCGGCAGGGTCACAGGGCCAATCTAGGGTCGTTTGAATTCCGCCCGGGGGTTAATTAGATCACTGCATTAAAGCAGAAATAGACTATCCCCAACTATCCCCTAACGACCGCAGGCAGGTTTTTTTTTTATATACGTATATAGATATACCTCCTCGTCGCTCCCTTTATGAGTAGGATACAGGATGAGTATCAGCAACGAAATCCTGCCGTCAGTTCCTCAAATCACGACAGAGCGCGGCTCCGGCCCAACGCGGCCTTCGGGCCGTGTCCCTCCTCCGACACTTTCGGGGCCCCGCACCCCGCGTTCCCCCGCTCCATCCCCGCCCCACGCACACGGCCGCCGTTTCCCAGGCTGGGGAGCGGTGGCCACCACGTCACCCACGGGCGCGGAGTTCCACGGTTCAACGGGTGCGAGCCCTCGGAGCCCGCAATCCCAAATTATCCCGTCCGGAAAAGATGCTCCCGGGCCGGTAAATATCACCGAGCTCTGCTCGCAGAGAGGCAGCTTTAGTGAGGAAAACGAGGGGAGAGGAAAGCGGAGCAGAATCGCCCGCTCGGAGCGCCGAAGCCCGGAGCCGCCTTCCCCTGCTCTGGGGCCGACTTTTCTCTGGATGGAGCTGTTCCGCTGCGCGTCGGGGAGGCGGCAGCTTCGGAGCCTTCAGCTCCAGGAAACCCGAACCCGGCTGCAGCCTCTCAGCCCGCACCGCCTGGGTGATCCCTCCCGAGCAACTTCCCTAGGCGAGACCTTCAGCCGCTTTGCCTACGGGGCAAAGCTTCGCTCTGACAGAGAGACGCATTCCCGGCAAACGTTTCTTTGGAAAGGCAAATTCCTAATCGGTTTCACATCTGCAGTTCACGGCGCGCCGTACCGCCGGGCTGGGAATCAGGGCTCGTATCGATTGTTACACTGGGGGCACGGGATGCGTCACCCACACGCTGGAATAACGCTCTGAGTTACATTTCCAACAACGCCAGCCCGTCACAACGATTGCCAAAGAGTTTTAAATCTATCTGTTCCCCTCTTTCGCTTTTCCACAGGAGCGGGGCTGGATCTCTTAGGAAGCCGGGCGACGCACCGGCACAGCCGGGGATCGGAGGGCAGAAAAGTACGGAACAGGAGCTCTGGAGCCCACGTGCTGGGCAGAACTGCAGAAACCACCCTGGTCACTAACGAGATTTCTGTAATAACAGCAGGAAGCAACAACAGCACCGTGGCACACAGTGAGAGAACGACAGCAGGAACTCCCTGAGAGCAGCCGCTTCTTTAGGTCTGTCCCGATACCCAGCACTGCTGCTGCGAGCTGGACACGGTGATCCCCACGAGTCCCTTCCAACTCGGGCTGTTCTCCACGTCTATGAAAGCAGGATTAGCTATTTACAACTGGGAAAAGGCTGTGTGGAATTATTACTTCTAATAGTTCCACCAGCTTTGTGAGGAGGGTTTCATTCGTTAGGGAGCCAGGGAGGCTGCCTCGCCCCCATCTTTAGCAGGATGCAGTTTATGGGCAACGGGGAAGCAGAACTCGCCGGACACTCTTCCCGTCCAGGCCCCACAGAAGTACTTCTGGAACGCATTTCCCAAAATCTCACTGAATCCCGCATGTCTGAAACATGGGACAGGCTGGGTGCAACAGCCAAGAACTGACTGAGCAACACAAAGCCCTGTTAGCAGAACCGCCCTCGCCCCACGGTGCCACCGGAGCATCCGAGCAGCGATTCCTTTCCATGACAACATCTTCCACGTTCTGGCAGAGTTGTGCCTTCCATGGGAAGAAAAATCCTCCAGTCTAAGACACATGTAGATAGGATAAACGTACACCTAACACATATCTAAAACCAACCTTTACACATCTGAGCACATCCCTGCACACATTTTACTAGAATAACTGTTAATTGCCTGAGGTCCCCGAGGCGGCCACCAGAAAGACTGCCGGGGCCCCGCTGAGACCCAACAGAATACCTGGGCTGGCTAAGGTGCTCTGGAGCTGTGTGAATCAGAAGGAAAACAGCTCCCCCTACCCATTTTATTAGAAGGCAATAAAATCTGGTGGTGTCTCATTAAATTTAATGAGCCTTCATAAAATAACCATTATGCCGTTGGAGGTAATGAAAAGAATAACTATGACGGTTAGTAAATAAACCAGCAAGGGGGATGCTGTTTGATGTCCCAGATACCCACAGGGTGCCACACTGGTAAATAACTCTCAGAGTAAACTCCGCTCCTTTGCACCCTTCTGCATTCTCCCCTATCCCAGTGCTGGGCACTTCTTCCTTCCCACATGATATCTGTGCACTCAGCGCAGCAGCATTTGTTTTTATGGTGCTGTGGGCTACGTAGGTAACTGCCAGCACTAAATGTACTGCTCTGAAGCTTCTTTTAAATCTGTGCTCACTTCTGAACATGTCACTGCAGAGGTTTTGAGGACAAACTCCTCATTTGGAGTAAGTACATGCACATGTTCATATCACAACGACAGATGAATGAGGATCTCAAATCACAGTCCAAATTCCAGGTCTTCCTTCTCCAGCACAAAATACCCAAGTGCTGGAGCTCCCTTTGCCCAAGGTTTTTGTATGAACGCATCACATGGTTGTTTTTCTTCCACACAGATGCTAACAGGGATGGTTATCTTCCTGACACTCACATTGCCCTGCTGCTGCTTCCCTCTCAGCCTGAGGGATGAGCCCTCTGCCTGATTCACCAACCTCTCCTGAGCAGAGTGGGCGATACCGCTATTTTATGGGAGAAGCAGTGCAATTTTTGTCGAATTATAAATATTGCAGCCCTACTCCTTCCCCCTCTCCCCCAACTCTCCCCGCCGCAGCAGTTCCCGAAGACATGTAAACCTATAGTGTTATTGCTCCCTAATCTAGCCGAGGGGATGAAATGGTGCCAAAACTCGCACTGCAATTTCATCAGCATATTCATGAGTCGCACTTTTGCAGTGTTGCAGAAACAACACAAATTGGTTTGTGAATTGTGAACTCCCCCTTCTTCCTCACCGCCTTTTTCTTCAGAATGGCAAATTGAGGATTAGCGAGGCGAGCATGCGTGGGTGACTTTGGGACCCGACAGCTGAAGTTTGTTCGTGTACCTCTCTGCCTTCCACCCTGTTTTCTCCCCTCGGCCGGCACTGCTTAACAGAGGAGCAGGGATCGGGGCTGCAGACCCATTCCGAAGGCTGGATGTGAAGCACATCCTGCACGGCAAGCTTTCATGTGGAGCTTGATTTAATTTTTCTGCAGAAAGATCACT